TAAAACTTTGGGGGTGTCATCCTTATATCCCATGTACACACTTTTTTTTTCATTCTACCTTCTTAGGTTGCTTTATTACATTCATTTAGTATGCATTAGCTATTTATCTCTGCTAGTCCCTTTAGACAGTGAGCTTCTTTGGAAAAGGGATTAAATTTCTCTTGTTCAGAGTTGTACCTCCAGTATGTTTTATATATATATATCTAACATACCTTCTATATAGAAGATATGTTAGACTGGATCCTCTGAGAAGCAGATGCCAATTGGATTCATATCTAATCCAATATGCAGTAGATGTGCAAGGGATTTATTGGGGGAAAACACTTATGAAGGAAAATGAGGAGGGAGCTGAAGGAGGCAGGAAAAGCCATCATATCATGGTGCAGGTCTGACCCTTGTGGAAGAGAGAGGAAAGGAAGGAAGGTTGAGGAACAGGAATCTTAGACAGCAGTGCAGTTTTAAGAAACGTTGGAAAGGTGAATTGGGAGTCCTCAAGCCAAAGTCCCTGTGAGCAAAGTCCTGTATTACAGGACTTAGTATCTTTGCCATGCTCAGTCATTGGCTGGGAGCAGACCCAGGGAGTGTGGCTTAGGCACAATGTGGTGGTGAATTCAAAGGGCAGCATATGGGACCATTAGTCAATACACTCCCCACAGTAGGAGATCTGAGATGCCCATTTTCACAGCATCGACAGAAGATCAACAAATGCTGATTCAATAAAGAGTTTGAGTAAGACAGAAGTTGAAGAGAGGAAGACTGGTCTTAATATTCACTGAGCCCTAACATTTGCTAGTATTGGTGGAGTATATAAAATCGGATTCTCACTCACCTCCCTCATCCACATTCTGTATCTCCCTTACTTTACTTTTTAAACCTTGAAAACAAGCCAGGTGCCATGGCTCATGCCTGTAATCCCAGCACTTTGGGAGGCCGAGGTGGGCAGATCACCTGAGGTCAGGAGTTCAAGACCAGCCTGGACAACATGGTGAAACCCTGTCTCTACTAAAAATACAGAAGTTAGCCGGGCATGGTGGCGCACACCTGTAATCCCTGCTACTTGGGAACCTGAGGCAGGAGAATCATTTGAACCTGGGAAGCAGAGGTTGCAGTGAGCTGAGATAGTGCCACTGCACTCCAGCCTGGGCAACAAGAGTGAGACTCCATCTCAAAAAAAAAAAAAAAAATCAAAAACAATGGAAAACTTTATTGAGATATAATTGATATATAATAAACTGTACATATTTTAAGAGTACAAATGATTATTTTGACATGCATATATACATGTGAAACCATCACCACAATCAAAATAATGAATATATCCATCATTCCCCAGAGTTTCCCCACTACTCTTTATAAACCCTTCCTGCCCACCATCCCTGCTTAACAACCACTGAACTGCTTTCTGTCATTTTAGATTAGTTTCCATTTTCTAGACTTTTATATAAATGGAACTGTAGAGTATGTGCTTTTTTTTTTGATCTAGCTTCTTTCACACAGCATAGTGTTTTGAGTTTTGTCCCTGCAGTAGCATGCATCAATGGTTCATTCCTTTTTATGGCTAAATAGGATTTCATTTTATAGATATACCACAGTTTGTTTTCCTTTTCTTACTTTGTTTTACTTTCTCTATAGTATTTATCACCTTTTGACATTATGTATATATTTTTGTTTGTTTGTTGTCTCCCAGAATGTAAGCTCCATGAGGACAGGGACTTTGTATACTGTTGCAGCCACAGTGTTTGGCATATAGTAGGCACCTAATAAATATTTGTTGAATTACTTGTATCTTGCTTCAGACCTTTAGTTAAAACAACAACAAAGCTTTGATATGATGTTACTGTTTTGATCATTTATCCTGGAAAGCAATATTGGGTTGGCCAGAGACATACATTTCAATTGGAAATCATAACTGGAATTTTGAAAATTGTTTCTTGGTTGTCTTCTCATTCATATATTATAATCAGGAAAAATCAATTATAGGAGTGAAGACTGATCTTTTTTTTTTAAGGGAAAAAAGAAAGAAAGAAAAAGAAAAAAGAAAGAGAGAAAGAAAGAAAAAAACGAATGAAAAAGAGAAAGAGGAAAAGAAAGAGGGAGAGAGAACAGGAGTCTTGCTTTATTGCCCAGGCTAGAATGCAGTCTAAAAATAGATATTAAAAATCTCTTTTATGCCAATAATTGTGCTTAACAATGGAGACAGGAAGGAATAAGGGAGGAAAAAAACAAGCAGCCAACCAATATTTCATTTAAACCTGTGAAATGCTATGCAATTACTGAGGAGTGATTTACTTCCAATAATGTAGTCACTTTTAGAGTAGGTGTGATGTGGTACTGAGAAGAATGTATGTTTTGTGGACTTGGGGTGGAGAGTTCTGTAAATGTTTATTAAGTTTACTTGTTCCAGGTCTGGAGTTCAAATCCTAGATGTCCCTGTTAATTTTCTAACTCATTGATCCGTCGAATATTAACAATGTGGTGTCAAAGTCTCCCGCTATTATTGTGCGGGAGTCCAAGTCTCTTTATAAGTCATTAAGAACTTGTCTTATGTATCTGGGTGTTCCTATATTGGGTGTATATATATTTAGGATCATTGACTCCTGTTGTTGTATTGATCCTTTTACCATTATGTAATGTCCTTCTTTGTTTCTTTTAGTCTTTGTTACTATTAAAGTCTATTTTGTCAGAGACGAAAGTTACAACTCCTGTTTTCTTTCTTTTTCTTTTTTTTTTTTTCTCTCCATTTGATCGGTAAGTCTTCCACCAAACCTTTGTTTTGAGTCTTTGTGTGTCCTTGCTTATGAGATGGATCTGGATACAGTGAACCGATGGGTTTTGACTTTTATTCAATTTGCCTGTCTGTGTCTTTGTTTGGGGCATTTAATCCATTTAAATTTAGGATTAATATTGATATTTGTGAGTTTAATATTGTCATTTAATGCTAGCTGGCTATTTTGCCCATTAATTGATAAAGATTCTTCATTATGGAGATACTCTTTACCTTTTGGTAGGTTTTTGAGACGACTGATACTGGTTGTTCCTTTCTGTGTATAGTGCTTCTTTCAGAAGCTCTCATAAAGCAGGCCTGGTGGTGATGAAATCTCTGAGTGCTTGCTTGTTTGTGAAAAATTTTATTTTTCCTTCATTTATGAAGCTTAATTTGGCTGGATATGAGATTCTGGGTTGAAAATTCTTTTCTTTGAGGATATTGAATATTGACCCCCACTCTCTTCTGGTGTGTAGGGTTTCAGCTGAAAGATCTGCTGTGAGTCTGATAGGCTTCCTTTTATGGATAACCGGACCTTTCTCTCTAGCTGCCCTTAGAATTTTCTCCTTTATTTCAACCCTGGTGAATCTAACAATTATGTGTCTTGGGGTTGCTCTACTTGAGGAATATCTTTGTGGTGTTCTCTGTATTACCTGAAGTTGAGTATTTTCCTGCCTTACTAGGTTAGGAAAGTTTTCCTGAATAGTATCGTGAAGAATATTTTCCAGCTTGGATTCATTCTCTTCATGACATTCAGGTACACCTATCAAACGTAAATTAGGTCTTTTCACATAGTCCCATATCTCTTGGAGACTTCGCTCATTCCTTTTTACTCTTTCTTCTCTAATCTTGTCTTCTCGTTTCATTTCATTAAGTTGGTCTTTGACCTCTGATATCCTTTCTTCTGCTTGGTCAATTCGACTGTTAAAACCTGTGCATACTTCGCAGAGTTCTTGTATTTATTCTTCAGTTCCATTAATTCACTTATATTCCTCTCTAGATTGTCTATTCTCGTTAGGATTTCATTAAATCTTTTTTCAACATTCTTAGTTTCTTTACATTGGGCTAAAACATTTTCTTTTAACTCACAGAAGTTTCTTATTATCCACCTTCTGAAGCCTAAATCTGTTAATGGAACGCACTCGTTCTCCATCAGGCCTTGTTCCCTTGTTGATGAGGAACTGTGGTCTCCTGTAGAGGGAGAGGCATTCTGATTTTGGGTGTTCTCAGCCTTTTTACGCTGATTTCTTCCCATCATTTTAAATTTATCCACCTGTCTTCTTTGTAATTACCGACTTTCAAATTAGGTCTCTGAGTGGACGTCCAACTTGTTGATTCCAAGCGCCAGAATCTGAGCAACCCACTGCGCCGGCCAAAATAGCGGCATTAAGATTCATGGTGCTTTTCTGCCCGGGAATCTCCGGTGTGGCTTCCTTCTTGAGTCCCTTTTTCAATCAGCTGAATAGGCGACTCTGCCTTCCCAGAGCTCCAAACGTCGACCAAAATGGGACCCAGTCCCATTTACTCTGCACCAAGAACCGCCGCGCCGGCCACAAGAGTCGTGCTGGCGACCCGTGGGGCTCCTCTGCTGGGAATCTCCTGGTCCGTGAGCAACAAAAATTCGTCTGAAAGTGTGGCATCCTCTCGTTCTCTGCGCTTTCACTGGGAGCTACAATCCTGGGCTGCTAGTAATCAGCCATCTTGGATCTCTCTCCAAGACTGATCTTTTAAAAAACAAATTGGTCTTAATATTCACTGAGTCCTAACATTTGCTAGTATTGGTGGAGGATATAAGATTGGATTCTCACTCACCTCCCTCATCCACATTCTGTATCTCCCTTACTTTACTTTTTAAACCTTGAAAACAAGCCAGGTGCCATGGCTCATGCCTGTAATCCCAGCACTTTGGGATTATGTAAATATCGGTGTTAAATGATGTGGTTTTGGTGCTATAAATTAGTTTATGCAGAATTTATAAGTCAATTCTAGGCAATTAATTCTCATGGTTATTCAAAAAGAGTCAGTCATAAGGACAATTGGGAGAAAACAGGGATTAGTTAAGATGAAACATTAATTTTAAATAATTAAAATTTTACTGTATCTCAAAAGAAATGGATGTTTGCCCTGTTTGCCATGTGTGAGTGTGTGCGTGTGTTGGGGGGGTGTGGGTGTTGGTGTGTGTTTGTGAGAGAGAGAGATCCTGCTTACTGAAACATGAAAACCTTGTTTGTTTCAGGATCAGATTTGCAAGTATGTCTCCCTAAGGGCCCAACATGCTGCTCAAGAAAGATGGAAGAAAAATACCAACTAACAGCACGATTGAACATGGAACAGCTGCTTCAGTCTGCGAGTATGGAGCTCAAGTTCTTAATTATTCAGAATGCTGCAGTTTTCCAAGGTGAGTTCTGGGGATCAGTTTAGATGTGCTGCTCAATGGCATCATTATTTGGACACTAGGCTTTCAAGTGCTAAGTATAATTTATAAATTACCATTCCAGCATTAATGCTTGATATTAAAAACCTCCCAGTGAGAGATTCTGGTTAAAAACAAAACAAAACACATTTTCAGAGAAGCTTCATTTCAATCTTTGGAAAGGTGGGTATTGTCAAAAAATCATTGTCCAAGGACATTCTCTTTACCTTTATATAAAGGTTATAAATGTCTACAGAAAGAATAAATAATATTTTCTCACAGCTTGATTCAAAAACAAACAAAAAAGTTTCCTTAAATACTGAGCCCAGTTTTCTCCAGGAATGAGTTAGATGCTTGTGGGACACATGTAAACTCCTTCTGACCACTAGGACCATTTCCATTTAAGAGGGAGACACTGGCTTGTTGGCTCAACATTTTCCCATTTGTGTGAGTGGTGATCTCTCCTCTCTTTGTGACTTTCGCTTCTTACCATGTCTGTGAATGATTGCGAAAGAAGCTGTTGTGGCATTGCCAGAATGGGTAGTAAATGACAGTTCTCCTTGCTAACTTCTAGGACTATCACAGCAGGATGGGGAGTAGGTCCCTCAATTCTAACACCCAGCTAGGAAGATGATGATGACAATGATGGAGGCGGTGGTGGTAGTGGTGATAGCAAACACTTACATGGCACTGTGTACTAGGTACTCTTTTAATTAGTTTACATATATTAGTTCATTTTTTTTTTTTTTTTGAGACAGAGTCTTGCTCTGTCGCCCAGGCTGGAGTGCAGTGGCGCGACCTTGGCTTACTGCAACCTCCACCTCCCGGGTTCAAGCGATTCTCCTGCCTCAGCCTCCTGAGTAGCTGGGATTATAGGAACCTGCCACCATGCCCAGCTAATTTTTGTTTGTATTTTTAGTAGAGACAGGATTTCACCATGTTGGCCAGGCTGGTTTTGAACTCCTTACCTCAAGTGATTTGCCTGCCTCAGCCTCCCAAAGTGCTAGAATTACAGGCATGAGCCACCATGCCCGGCCATATATTAATTCATTTAATCCTCACATTATGAGTGGATATCAGTATCCTTATTTTGTCAATGGAAATCTAAGGCACAGAATGGTTAAGTAATTTGCTCAAGGACACAAAATTAATCAATAAATGGCAAAGGCAGGATTTGAACCCAGGTTTCATGGCTCTTAGAGTCAATTCTTTTAACTCTCCCCATTGACTGTCTCTTGTGACTGGGAAAATTAATTATGGATATTCACAATTAACTAATTAATTAATTATCAGGTTTTCTTCTATCCCTCCTCAAGCAGAGGGAATCAGCTGCTTTTTTCTTGCCTCACCAAGAGAGGATCAGGGTCAGATAGAAAGATAACACTTCTGACTGCTTGACATTGCAAAGCTTGAGATTTATGGCACTGTTACAAGAATTAACCTCTGAATTGCAAGGTAGGTTGATTATAGTTTATTTTGTGTATTACAATGAAATCATTAGAATTAGCTAAGAAAATCATTCAGATTAGTCAATAAAGGCTACATTCACAACAGTTCCTTGGGTCAAACTCTTAGGGGATATTAGGTTGATTATATGAAGTATAATATATAAGCCTGAAGTATTTGTTAACGTATTTGTGCAGTCAGACTCTTGTGAAGAGTTTGTTGAGACTAATAATTTGGTGATAGAATGAATAATTTAGGCAGATTTAAAACATACATGTAGCATTCATGAACTTCTTAGATTGATTTTAGAGTTGATCTACTGGATAAAAGTGGGGTGATAAGAAATGATGTGATATGAGAATTGAGTTGAAGCAGAGAGCTGAATCTTACTCTTTGGGGTATCATCCCTTTTTAGAACAGCGTATTAGTGATTTGTTTAATTCCAGAATAACCAAGCTCACAGATATTGCCTTACAATCCTTGTCTAGCTGGTGGGGAGTGGTAGAGTGATCATAATGGTATTTTAATATGCACAGTAGCTGACATGGCTATCTATCTGAGGGCCCCAGCTGTCAGCATTTACATCTCTGTCCAGTTCTGCACTTTGTATACTGTGTTTTATAGATCTGGAAAATCGTCAGACCAGGAGAGAAAAGAAGTACTGACAAGATTTTGGTTGGATTAATGTCCAGATAAGCCTGCTATAGCTTGGAGGCTGAATACTAGTCCTGTGAACAGAGGATAGAAAACGGGGACAGCATCTACTAATTGTATGTCTCTCTCCCTTTCTCTCTGTCTCTCTTTCACTTACACACATACACACACACTTTCTTTCTTGAATTGTGGGGATAGACAGAAGGTCAACCCTAGCAAAGGAACATGGAGACAATGAAATGATGCCTGAGCTCATTATTGCTAGTGCCCTCTACTTTGTCACCATCTGTACTCATTATTTATCTTGTTTCACTCCCTCTTCTCATTCTTTTCCTGCCTTACTTTTAGAAAAAATAAACCTCACAAAGAAAAATAAACCATGGTCCCAGACCTCAAGGTACTTGTACAATGTTTCAGAATACATTGCCCCTAAATCCTTCTGTAACAAACATTTGGAGAGACAAGACTTCAAACGAGATCACTACGAGATGATGTATTATTAATTGCTAAGAAAAAGAAAGCATCCACTTCTTTTTTTCTTATGACCGTTTATTATTCCAATGAATTGAAATTAGGAGACACAATTGTTTTCCCCCTAAAATACATCCCCTCCTCAATATTCTGGTAGGCCAAATTAGTGAGAAAACCACCCCAATACTTGACTCACATGAAATTTGATGTGACAGCTTTTGCTAGCTATTTTCTCCATCACATGAAGTTGAAGAAAGCTCATCTTGATCTTGGCTTAGATCCACAATCTCTTTAGCATTCCTTCACTAGTCCACATTGGGGGTATTTAAGCAGTGAGTGCTTTCTGCAAAAATATGTGCACAGTTCCACGAGCAATCCTTACTGCCTCGATTTGGATTTTATGTCTTCATTTGCAGGAAGCCTTTGCCCTCATAAATGAGCCTGGGGCCCTTTGCTACAGTGGTTGGAGTACTCTATTGCTAATGTTGTTTTGATAATGATTAAAGCATTTAAAAAAGTTCTTCTTTATTTTCAATCTTTGCATTGCCTCGTTTCCTAAATTTAATTTACTTAGATGTACTTAGTAAAATGGGGCAGCACAATTGTTTTTTGTTTCTGCTTAATTAATTCTTTCTGAAAAACTCCACTAAAAGTAGATTTTCCTTTCTTGTTTTCTTTTTCTTCTCCCGTACCTTAAAATAATTATGATGATAATAATAGTGCTTACTATACGATGCTGACTTTTACATGATTATCTCATTTAATTTTCCCAACAGACCTACAAGGTCTGTACTGTAATTATTTCCATTTTACAGATGAGGAAACTCACTGATGCCACAGCTTGTTCTGAGCCATCATGTGACATGACTTTCCTTGTTCTTAGTGTGCTTGAGGTAAAACAAAACTGAGAAGTTGGATTTGTGATTCTTGTGAAGAAAAATGGAATAGAATTCTGAAATTTTCATCATCTCACAACCACCTCTATACCTTCAAGCCTTGAGTTCTATTTTCTTTGTAGGATTTTATTCTGATTTTCAGCCTTGTACTATCAAGAAATATTTGGAGTACATCCAGGTCTTTTCTAGATGTTGGATGATTCTAGACTTTCCCAAGGTACCACTGACTTTGAGTGATAACAGACTCTTTTATACGAGGCAATACCTTGCTTTTTCTGGAAGTTGCCTATCCTACAACTTGAACTCTCCTTATCAGAAAGGAAAAATGGTGGTTAAGCAGGAAATGATCTCATCTGGAAGGTCTTTAAGTCCTTGTTTAGAGCCTACTACTCTTCCATGCTTATGCGTAGTCTTTATACATTTGATTTTCTGGCTTTCTAGTCAGTAATAGAGAAGCAGTTAAATAGAAGGGTGGTGGAAGGCTGCTAGGGGAAGGTACATATGAGCAGCAAGGAGTTATAAGCAACATTAAGGGTGGGGGACCTAAAAGTGGACTTAAGAACTCACTAAATGTGGCAGTTGGAGACATTTAATAGAGGACCATACTCCTACATGCCACAATGGCTCCTGTATTACATTAGGTCCAAGTGATGTTCACAATGATGGTTACAAGTAAATATGGAAAGTTCAACTTATGTTCACTGTCTTTTTCTTAATATTTCCATTGTAAATGGCTAAAATGAATTTTTTCAGTGCTTAAGATCACTGAAAGAAACAAGGGACTTAGAGTCAGAAAATCTAAGTTTGAATTCTAGATCTGTATTTATAAGCTTTATGGTTTGGGGCAGTTATTTAGACTCCAGTAGCCTCAGTTTTCTTATCTGCAAAATGGGGATAAAACTTGCAGTCCTGCTTACTTTTGTAAAGTAGAAATCATGAATGTGAAAATGTCTGGAAAACTGTAAAACACCATATGCATGCATTATCCAGACAGCTCATTTATGTGTACTGCTTCACCCCAGGTGGTGCCAAATAAATGATGCATTATCATTACAGACATTAACCTCAACAAGGCTGGAGTTCATGATGTACTTCAACAACTTTTGCCACATATATAGATGATATATATGCAAACAGCTCCAGTGCACAGGCGAAAGAGTACTTAGGCAAAAGACTCTTTGAGAAAGGGGTTTATTTTATGCATGCTTGGATGTGAGGCTGTACTGTTTGAAATGTCAATACTGCCAGGAGCAATCCTTTTTTCAGCTTCCTGAAGCTCCTCTTCTGGCTAGTATCTGGTATATTTCATATACGAATAAGCGGCTTGATCAGAAAGGGTTCGTTGGTTCAGGCCATATTTTAATTGCATTTTTTGGTCCACACTATTATGGCAGAGAGGAGGAAAAGGTGAGTATATGGGTATATAAGTCTAGAGATCTTCAGTTGATCCTTATTCAGTATTGGCAAACTTGCTTTCTTCTACCTACTTTCTGTGGAGATGAAAAAGACATCTCTGCA